ATCCCAAAGCAGTGGCGGAGGCTAAAGCTAAAGATGGGATGGTAATTATCATAAGATGCTACTGTAGCCTAGTCATTGGTGTTCAGCCTGCACTGCCTCGTATAAAGAAGGAGATGCAACTGCTGGGCATCGATGACCTGTTCGGTGATAAGGCCTTGGTTGACTTCATTATCAGAGGCTCCAATGTATGCCACCTGGTCGGTAGAGAGCAAGAGGCAGTGGAAATTATAGAAACTGTAATAAGGAAGGATTTATAAGTCTATCCTGTAGCATATTAGCGACCCTCTAATAGGTACTACACTCCCGTCGAAAGAGATGGTCCAGCAGTGGTGGTGCTGAGGCATCAGATAAGGCAGGTGGTACTGCCTCAACAATTGAGGCGGGTGGTGGGACGCAGTCAGGAAGGAGTACTGCTGATAATGCCATCCCTGTCGGTGGTGGTGGAGGGTCCGAGCATATATCCAGGCTAGAGAAGGCCAGCTTCAACCTGGCAATCAAGGCCCGTATGAGGAAGGTTGTATTCAAATACCTCCGACAAAGAGTGAGGGCATGGAATTAATGTCGACTGCTATCAATGTTTCCTTCGTGCTTTAGGCTGTGAATAACGCTCATGATAAGGACTACTACACACTATCACGTACACTAAGCTATCTATCCAAACTTATGTTCTACGATATCGCAGCAGGAGATGAGGAAGCAGTAGGTTTGGGTATGAGCTATTATTATTAGTAGCAAGTGATGTGTAGGGCTTCTCAATGCACTCGGATGAGGTAAAGGGCAAGACTACAATGCGGAAGGGGACCAAACCAGATCAGCTAGAGTTCATCGACCAACGAGCATGGTTGATAAGACAGGCTATCAAGTACCCTCAAGTGTATGAGTATACTCTCATACTGGGTCATCTTAGTACACTAGCCCAAACGTAATAATATTGCACCCCTTTGATAGAGGACTGTAGCCGATGATCTCTACAGGCATCGATATAGCGTCAGAGAGTACTACCGAGCCATGAGGCTACGTCCCAATGATCCCTACCCAGCTCTACTTCTCACAGCGTCCCTCACTACAATGTCTATATCACGTGTGACGTACGATAGACAACTTACCATCACCAAAGGTAGTGTTTAGCCCTTGGGCGTATGCTGATGGCATCATGTTTCAGCTTTGGCGGTATTCCAATTGTATGAGAAGCTCCGACTTCAACAGGAGGGAGTATCAGGCGTGTTGGCCAAGGCTGAAATAGCTTACAATCAAGGGAGACTTTGGCATCAACTCTCTGTCTTCCATCTAGCTGATAGGCTCTATAGACAGGCCTTGAGTATTATCCATGAAGCTGAAAGCAATGGCAAGATGTATTACGAAGATGAAGTAGAGTATGTACGCTTAGCAGCTGCATACAACCTAGCTACACTGCATGTACAGACTGGTAATCGTACTATGGCAGCTAGAGTACTCGT